AACTTTTCGAAATACTAACCAGATCATTCGAGTAGATCATCGCGTAGATCATCGAGCAGATAATCGAGCAGATCATCGAGCAGATAATCGAGCAGATCATATTGCGCTAAATTAATCGTTCTTAATGTTGTATTGACTTTAAGCATTTCTGCTAAAGCTTTGGCTTCATCGTCGGAAATTCGATTATAGTTTAAATCAATCGTTGTTAATGTTCTATTAACTGTAAACATTTCTGCTAAAGCTCTGGCTCCATAGGCAGAAATTTCATTTTGCGCTAAATTAATCGTTGTTAATGTTGTATTGACTTTAAGCATTTCTGCTAAAGCTTTGGCTCCATCCTCGAAAATTGGATTATAGCTTAAATCAATGGTTGTTAATGTTCTATTAACTTTAAACATTTCTGCTAAAGCTCTGGCTCCATCGTCGGAAATTCCATTCCCAAATAGATTAATCGTTGTTAATGTTCTATTAACTTTAAGCATTTCTGCTAAAGCTCTGGCTCCATCGGCAGACATTTCATTTTGCGCTAAATTAATCGTTGTTAATGTTGTATTGACTTTAAGCATTTTTGCTAAAGCTCTGGCTCCATCGTCGGAAATTTTATTCCTACGTAGATCAATCGTTGTTAACGTTCTATTAAGTTTAAACCTTTCTGCTAAAGCTTTGGCTCCATCGTCGGAAATTCCATTCCCAAATAGATTAATTGTTGTTAATGTTCTATTGACTTTAAGCATTTCTGCTAAAGCTTTGGCTCCATCGCCGGAAATTCGATTATAGCTTAAATCAATCGTTGTTAATGTTCTATTAACTTTAAGTATTTCTGCTAAAGCTTTGGCTCCATCGTCGGAAATGCCATTGCCAAATAGATTAATTGTTGTTAATGTTCTATTGACTTTAAGCATTTCTGCTAAAGCTCTGGCTCCATCGCCGGAAATTGGATTACAGCTTAAATCAATCGTTGTTAATGTTCTATTAACTTTAAACATTTCTGCTAAAGCTCTGGCTCCATCGTCGGAAATTTCATTCCTACGTAGATCAATCGTTGTTAATTTGTAATCTGTTTCCAATAGTTCTATCATAGGCAGTATTGTTTCCGTTGTCATTTTAGTAGATCTTGCGCTGAAAATGGTGACTGTTTTACTGCACTTCAGCACTTTAGCGATGTTTTCGGTTGCGCTTCTTGTTGATGTAACGTTATCAAGAGAAAGTTTTATTTCTTTGCCGTCGAGTACTTGATTAGAACCTTCTATCTGGATATTCAGAGAAAGGTTGTCATAGTCTCCCTTTAATAACTTCTGAAGCAGTTTTACGTCGTCATCTGTGATCTTTGCCCAGCAGTTTAATAGGATCTGACATTGAATGTTAGTATAATCACATGTTGCTCTCAGTTTCCCTACTATTGTTAAAGCATCTCCTTTGTGGCCATCATAATAAATGAGCAAAGAACCTACCGTTGACAATTCGATTGTTTTAATCAAATAATCAGTATCATCTACACTCAACAAGTCGGCGTGTTTTATGATCAACGCATCGATATAAAACGTCTGACGAATCAGTTCATAGTATTGCCTCACAGTGCCACGTTTGAAGCTTTCTCGTATTTCCCCCTTGCTGCTTTTAATATCAAATGTGCCTCCTAAAGCCTCAAACTTTTCCTTAAGTATTTTCAGTTTTTGACCATTATACAGATTCTCCGACCATAAATGCCTCTTTGTAATTAGCTTAACTTTATGTTGTAAGTGTTTACTCAGTATTTCGTAAACGGGCACAACACTGTTATATTTGATTACACGCCATGATAGAACATTCGATATCGTTTCGGTCCATTTACCTGGATCGCGACTCAGTGTTGTATCACCACCGGTGGCTTCGTATACAATACATGATTTTTGATCGAGTTTATTGTTATTTTTCCGTTTGCCATGACCTTTTCCTCCGCTTACACCAACTCCGACATTCAGATTTTGTAAGGACGCTTTAAATCCGACCGATTTTGAATTTTTATAACTTTCCTCGTCAACGTCACTTTTCGTTGATTCTATCTCTGTATGATAAAGCTGTGCACCAAGTGTGATCTCACTTGCTATCACATGTCCGTACTTATCGAAGACTCTGTGTAACGCTTCTAATTGTTCATTCGAAGGTTGAGAGAATAGACATTCGACATCATGTCGAAAATGTTCTGTTGGTTCCAAATAACTTTCATCTAATTTGACAATGACTCGAGGAAAATTGAACGTACACGTTGTATAAATAGTTTTCTCTTCTTTCGTCCGTGCTTCTGTCTCTTCTTTGTCGTACTTGAATGATGTAGAAAGAAACGGACACTGCAAGCTTGGTTCGAACTTTGCGAATTTACTTCGTATATATGAGTTACTACGCTTCGTATAGGCAAGGTGGGCTTCGATGTATGATGAATCACTGATCTTGAATTTTGGTAAGGCATCGTTTTTGAACTGAAGGATCGGTTCAAAACTTGACTCTGGACCAAGATCGGATAACAATAGACCTCGGCACAAATCATTATTCTGGAACACTTGTTTCCATAAATTTATATCTAGCTGTGTTGCGTTTTGAATTTCTTTTGAGTGTGACGGTATCGTTCCAGGAATTGTTAGTTTATGTTCAGGTGTTGAGAAAACCGCAGATCTCCAAATGACTTAAAAAAAAGTTATTGCTACTTTGCTCTCTCGGCGGAAATGCGCAACTTGCGTTTTCCAGCCGATTTGGCCTAACTTGTGAAACATCACCTAAGCGCATTCTCTAGAACCTTGAGCTTAGCTTCATATGAAAGAGCGCATCAAACCCTATATAGTTCGATAAAGAAGAATTGTGTGACATCTCTGCGTCTTGAAAAAACGATTTCTGAAAAATCTGGTTTTCTAGAAAACCTAGCTGGATCAAAATCGGTTAACGGTCACATTACATTACCGATTCAGTTTTCTACAAAATGAGATGGGATAGCCAAGTTTCTACGGTGTCGGCAATCTATATTATTAGAAATTATACCACCGTCTACGCTCCACCTGATTAAAGTATTTTAAGTTATTAACAATTGCGAGTTTTTGTACTGCGAAAATTTTGCGCCTCCGGTTTTCCAGGAAATTTCTTGAAATCTAGGATTCAGAAAATCTTTTGAATTCAACGTGTAATAAACAGGACAAAGAAGTCTCTGCATAATTTCCATCAAAAGCCATTATCAAGACCCGACAGACTTCTGATTATCAGCATCAACGTTTGTAACTCGCATGATCAATTCTATATACTCCACAGTCTTTTGTAAAAATTGAAGAAAATTTTTCGGGTTTTGTTTCGGGTAATAGATTAAGAACGCAAAGAAGTC